CCATAGGATATAGTCATGGCAGTTAAAGTTGTGTCAAACTATTTTAATCTTCTCTCTCACATCTTCACAACCTCTAATTCAGAAATATATTCCCACAAATCATAGACAATAGTCCATACATTAATGGTTGCAACAATAAAGTAAACAGATTGTGGAAACTGTGGATAGCAAATGAATGGCAATGGTAGATGACTCCCTCTGGAGGTTGTTTTTTTTAAGCCATTTTGATATTTCTTCATTAGTAGTAGTAAACTGTATATTCCAACTAAGTATTGACTCCAAAAATCAATATCCAAGATTCAGTTTTTCCAAAAACTTCCCAACAAACTCTGAATATAAAAGTAATGTTATGAAATACCCATTATCCTCCAAAATTAATGCTTTCTGTGGGAGTTGTAATCCACCATATATTGAGGTTGGGGGAAGCCAAGGTAAGGTAAAATGCTGCTACAGAGAATACTACTGCAGCTGCACTAATGGAAGAACCTGTCCTCCAGTCCTGGCAATTGACTGGGAGGCGGTGAGAAGGTGCAAAGCCAGAGTGAACTTTTTCTTCTCTACACATACATAAACTTCATGGATATATTATTGGGGGGATTCTGGGAATTCTGATCCAAAAAAAGTAATTTGTCTGTTAAGCTACTAGGCAGCATTCCAGCATCCTCATGGCAGGGAGGATGTAAGTCCTTTACATTGTAAACAGGACCCAGGAATCTGGCTGTATCTCAGCTCACACATGCTGTGCGTGTTTGGACGACAGAAGAAAGGCACAACAGAGTAAACAGCTAGATGCTGTGAGGGAATTTAGCCTCTTTGTTGCCTTCTTGGGGAGAGAATGCAGCTCAGCAGTAGAGTACATGCTTTACTAGTGTTTTTCTAGGTTTAGGGGCTCTGCAGATGACGCAAAGCACCGTCTTGGAGCCAGGGAAGGGGAGGGGCAGCCTGACACCAAATGCCCCAACCCCTTCCCGAGGACATCATCAGAGCGCCCGCCATTGCACACGACAAGCACTCTGATGATGTCCTTCCGGTGCAACATTTTTACATGCTGTGCCAGAAGAAGCGCAAAAGAGCCGCATGGCGGCTCTTGAGGCGCCCTTTCTGCAGCTTGGGAAAGGAGTGCTATTTTAGTACCCCTTTCCCAGTCATCGAAAGGGTGGATTGGGGCCGAGGCATGGGGCAGCCTCAGCCCCAATCCTCCACTTCTCAGGGCGGCCCATAGCCGCCCCTCTGCACCCCCTCCCCTTAGTCTCTGGCATTTCTAGCTCAAAGGACAAGGTAGTTGGTAAAGGCACAGACACTGTATCTGAAATACCAGAGAGCTACAGCCAGTTGATTCCACAAAGGCAGATAGATTGATGGAAGTGGTGGAAGACAGTGTCCTATGCATTTTGTGCTGTGCTACAGTGCTTTCACCTCTTTCTTGGTGCTAGATCCTTAAAAATGGAAGGAGGGATCAGGGAAAAGGAAAGAAAGAAAAGACAAACACTGCACATTAGTAGATGGAAGTTTGCTTACATTTTGGACAAACACCCCGTTCTTACTGCTGTAAAGCCTCAAAGATCTTCAGACTGTTGCACAATTATATTGGCACAGATCCTAGGTCTCAGCCTCCCTGTCTGTTGTGCGCTTTCAAGTTGTTTTCCAACTTCTGGTGACCGTAAAGTGAACCTGTGATGCTGAGCTAGTGTGACTTGCCCAAGGTCACCCAATGATTCCCCAAGGTCAGAGTAGATAGATTAATTGAAGTCGTGAAAGACAGTATACTATGCATTCTTGTGGCTGTGCTCCATTGCAGGGATTCAGGCCCTGGTCTCCAGTCATAGGGGCTTTGCAGGTGGCGCAAAGTGCCATCTTCAAACCAAGGAAGGAGAGGGTCAGCCAGATGCTGGGTGCCCCAACCCCTTCCTGAGGTCATCATCGGAGCATCCAGACATGCTGCGATGGAAGAGATGCCGAAGGGGCACACACTGCTTCTTCTGGCTCCCTTTCTGCGCCTTGAGGAAGGAGCACTCTTTTAGTGCTCCTTCCAGGGCCGGAAAAAGAGTGGATTGGGGCCAAGGTGTGCGGCAGCCTTGGCCCCAATCCACCGCTTCTCAGGGTGACCCATGGCTGCCCGTCTGCATCCCCCATAGTCTAATGTTCACTACGCCATGCTGGCTCTACAGATTCATAAAGGGGTGAAATAGCAGTATCATAGGCATAAAGAAAACATGGGCAAACTCAGGGCTGGTGCTTCTTTGTCTCTACTAGAACCCCAAGAACTATCAAATGGAACCATATACAAATGACACCAGAGCTTGGAAGGAATGTGTTAAATTCAACACTGTTGCTTGTAATTCCTTACAGCTGGCATCATGTTAGTGGAATACACAAGCATAAATGAATCTTCTATCTACTTTTGGTCGTTCTAGAAAATGATATTCCCTTCCACCCTCCGTAACAACCAAAATTTAGCCCCCTCCCCCAGATTTACCAGAGAGCCATTGCAGCTCCCATCCTGTAGCCATTCCATTTGGTGGAGAGTGGCTATATCCTCATAGCCAGATGTGAAATGATTACATCAGCTGCTGACATCTCTGAAGGACTCTGGCAGACCTCAATCGATGATGTAATTGCTTCCTGTCTGGCTATGGGGACATAGCCAGTCACTTCTGCAATTCTTCAGCAGCTCTACTACAGTAAGTCCAGGATATGGTAAATGACTCAGATTAGTGTAGTTTCACATGTGGAACTACCACACTATCTTTATCCATGCAGGATTGCAGCCTGTGTGTGTATTTTTAACAAGAGCCAATAATATTACTTTTTCAGAAGTATAAAAAAAATGCCATTAATGCTATATTTTTGTGGGGTTTTTGGAATGTTTTTTGTGTAACAAACATTACTTCAGTGAGTGGACGGGGAATGGGGGGGATTAGCCAATTTGGATTTCCCCCATTTTTTTTTTAAATTAACGCTGCAGGTTATGGATTAATAATGCACTTCATTACTCATTAATCATGATAATGGTAATTTTAACACTGCCAAAAGTTTTTTTTAAAAAAAAAATAAAAAGCCTTTTTGAAACCCACGTAAACGATGTCCATTGCAGGAATCTCCTCCGGTGACCTATCAGGAGGAATCCTCCTTGGAGGAGGAGAGCCAGAAGGAGAGAGCCAGCTGGGAGAGTCACAGTATCAGAACCTGAGCCTGAGGCCTCATCCAACAGTCCTGTGGAATATCTGCATATGGAGGCTGAGCCTAGATCCTCCTGAGAGGATCCATCAGTCCCAGAAGATCATAGAGCACAGATGGAGTCTGAAACAGAACAACTGCCAAGTCAGAGAGAGATAGAGGATAGTGTCACAGGAGGCATCATGATAGTGCAGTGGTGTGGAAGTGCTCACCTTCATCAGAGAGTAACACAGCAGCAACTGAGCACACCAAAGGCAGCTGTCTGGCAGTAGAAGCACACAATGGATCCATGCCCTATAGCTGCTGAGCTTCAGCACATGCCCTCCCTAGCTCTGTGGTTCAGTCAAAGACAAATCTTATGTAGGTCCTTGAAATTTGACCCTGATGCATTTCCTGTGTCAAGATACTCCTTTGCCTGAAATCCAACCTGGCAAGACACTGGTCTGGCTAGTCAAATTCAACTTAGGGCCTCTACAGACGGCACTTTGCACCATCTTGGAGGCAGGGAAGGGGAGGGGCAGCTGCACGCCAGCCATCCCAACCCCTCCCTGAGGATGTTCTGATGGCGCACACCGTTACGTATGGCGCGCGCCATCAGAACGTCCTCCCGGCGCAGCGTCTTGACATGCTGCACCAGAAGGGATGCAGAAGAGCCATGCAGCAAACAGGAGAATCAGGGCTAACACGTCCGGCAGCCTCGGCCTCGATCCTCCATTTCCAGGGGTGGCCCAGGGCTGCCCATCTGCATCCCCTCAAAGTAAGAAGAGTTGTCAGCTGGAGGAACAAGCAGAAAAGGTGTCAATAAGGGGGGATGTAGATGGACAGCCCTGGGCTGCCCCAGGAAATAGAGGATCGAGGCCGAGGCTGCTGGCCCCAGTTCTCCTGTTTGCCATCTCCTTTCCCCCTGCCATCTTTGCTTATGTTGTCTTTTCGTCATTATAGCTATGTTTGTAGTGTTTATCTAAACTAAAAGCAAAATGCAATGAAATACTAATTAACAGCACATTTTCCTTTTAATCTTTATTTCCTTATATTATTATGTAATTTTGAAAGCAACCCAAACACTTACTTCCCATTTGTTATTTATCTACTAAAGAGGGAAAATGTATTAATGACTATGGGCCTTTGCAAACTGCTGAATAATGCCACCATATAATGTAGTTAATAGGTATCAATTTAGTTGCCAGCTGTTTTCTGTTTTTGTTCTGTTCTTACAGGACAATTGTAAGAGGCAGTAAAGTTTTTGCCAACCTTCTGGCTACTGTGTTCTCTAAAACATCTGTAGAAATAACTATAAATATCTTTCATTTTTTCAAGGCGCTTCACTTTACTTTTAACAATTCACAACAAATATGTAAGCTTTAAGCATTTTGGCTGCAAATGTATGCTCATTTACCCGAAATTAAGGCTTATTAAATGCAACCATTTATTCCGAGTAGAGATATAGTGGACTATTTTGTACTGCTAATTAATGACAAGTACCAGTGTAGCCTAGTGGTTTGAGTGTTGGACTAGAACTCCGGAGACCATGGTTCGAATCCTGGCTCTTCCATGTAAACCCAGACTCAGATGATGGCAATGCAAACCCTCTCTGAAGAAACTTGCCAAGAAAACCCCATGATTGGTTTGCTTCAGATTTGCCGTAAGTCGGAAACAACTTGGAGGCATAACAACAAACAAACAACAAATTTCTAGTCTCATTGTTTGTAGAGCAGGGAAAATGTGAATTATGAAACAATCAAATGGAGAGATGGGATATGTAGCTTTTAAGTGGTACTCTCTTTCTTTGTCCTGGGAATGCAAAATCTATCACATTTGCCTTTTCATCTATCACATTTGCCTTTTTTGGAATTTTGCATCTCTAGAATGAAGAAGGCACACCATCAAATAGCATGTGCAGTTGCAAATATGTGTGTGTGTTAAATATACAGGGATATATTTTACTATACAGTTAAACAAAACTTCTGACAAAGAAGCTGCTCTTTACAAAGTCGTTTTACACCCAGCAACCTTCCTTTTCTTCTTTGTTCTCTATCTAGCTGAAAGGTTTTTTAAAGTAGCAACATAGTTGGGAGAATGATGAAGGAGAGTTGGAGAAACACAGACCTCCAATGCTGGATTGCAACAATGCATCTGCAGTAAATAATACAATAAAGCTTGAGCTGGGAAGAAGTTTACTTTAGCTGATCCTGTCATAGCTGTGTGTGCCTGCCTACAAAAGACAAAGAAAACAGCAGCTGATTCAAGAATCGCTTACTGAGCATGCATGAACAGCAAAGGAGAGAGAAGGGGGAGACACACACAAGTGTGCTTTACCAGCTGTCCCCTACCATGTTAAAAAAGCATAGATCTAATATTCTTTGGTTATCAAGATGGAAGTCAAAAGAAAGATGAGGATGGTGAAAAAAAGCAAACCAACTCTAGATATATTTTGGAAAAAGCTTTCAAGTGTTTTCACAATGTTTTTGTTTACTTATTTACTTACTTGACCTGATTGCTTCTGGAAACCATGCCCTATTGTGCATGCAGAGGGGCAGGATAAAAATAAATGTATTATTATTATTATTATTATTACTACTACTACTACTATGTGGAGCAGGTTAGGAAACTGGGTATGTTCAACTTGGGGAAGAGTGGGTTAAGAGGGGAACTGATGGCCATGTTTGAAATATTTGAAAGGATGTCATATTGAAAAAGGAGCAAATTTGTTTTCTGCTGCTCCAGAGACTAGGGACATTTTCACACTTGGGGTCTCAAAGCCGCCTGGAAGCAAT